ACAGAATCCTTCCGACTACGCGAAGTATTGCAAGCTCCTGTCCTATCTCCCCAAGGAGATATCAATGCAGGTTCGTGACGTTATCATTTCTCAGACCGAAAACCGCTATGAGGCTCTCAAAGAGGCCACGATTAAGCGTGTTATGCCCTCTGAGAAAGTTCGCCTGCAGCAGCTTTTCAGGGATCTGCAGCTGGGCTACAAGCTGCCATCAACCCTGCTAAGGGAGATGCAGCAACTCCTTGGTTCCTCAACCATGGACGAGACTTTACTTCGCGAACTATGGCTACAGCGGCTACCGGAAAACACGCAAGCGATTCTCGCTACAGTGAGCTCCGTTTCGCTCACTCAACTAGCAGATTTAGCGGATCGAGTTATTGAACGATCACAGCCACAAGCCGACGCCAGCAAGATCAATGCCGTCGCGTCCCAGGGCACTTCTATCACTGGCTTACAGTCAACTATAGAAGCCCTGCAAACACAAGTTGCGACACTTAGTCGCCAGGTCCAGCAGCTTACTATGAACCGTCGTTATCACGGCCGCTCAAAATCGCCCTGCAAACGTTCTAAGTCTAACAACAGGCAGGCTAGCTGTTGGTACCATCAGCGTTTTGGTACCGCAGCTCATAGATGTGTAAAGCCTTGCAACTTCGCCGAGAAGCAGGGAAAACTTCGCGGCCGGTCCGTAACGGCGACGGACGCGACCAGCCAACACCAAAGTCGCCTCATCCGCGTTAGGGATTTAACTTCCGGCACCGAGTTTCTAGTCGACACTGGTGCCGAAGTTAGCGTCATACCCCGTAGCTCAGATGAGGTCGTCTCACAATCGCCGACCAAGCTGCGTGCCGCCAATGGCACACCAATCGCAACTTTCGGCGAAAAGCTGCTAACGCTCAATTTAGGCCTCCGGCGAACCTTTCGCTGGCCTTTCATAATCGCTGCCGTGCCTTTCGCCATCATAGGCATAGACTTTCTTCAACGCTTCGACCTCATCGTCGACGCTAAACGGAAGAAGCTTATCGACTCTAGGACACAGCTCAGTGTTATCGGGACTAGCGCCAAAGTGGCTGCTATCACTCCCATTCGTGTCCTACCTCAAGCTTCACAGCCTTTTCTAGAACTTTTCAGCAAGCACCCTAAACTCGTTCGCGTCCTGAACGACTTGCCTCCTGTGACGTCAAACGTCATGCATTACATTTGCACTAAGGGCCCACCTGTTTCGGCCCGCCCTTGCCGACTAGCCCCGGACAAGCTCAAAGCTGCTAAGGCGGAATTCGAGCAAATGCTCGAACTGGGAATCATCCGCCCGTCCAAAAGTCCATGGGCATCACCATTACACATGGTGCCTAAGAAATCCGGTGACTGGCGCCCCTGTGGTGACTACAGGGCACTTAACAAAATTACCGTCCCGGATAAATACCCTATTCAGCACATGCACGACTTGACCTCAGCTCTAGCTGGCAAGTCTATCTTTAGCAAAGTCGACCTAGTTCGCGCCTATCATCAGATACCTGTCGCGCCAGATGACATTGCTAAAACAGCAGTCATCACGCCATTCGGCCTATTCGAGTACCTCAGAATGCCTTTCGGCCTCAGCAACGCTGCCCAAACTTTTCAGCGTTTCATTCATGAGGTAACGCGAGGACTCGAAGGCGTTTACCCTTATTTAGATGACATTCTCATCGCCAGCTCTTCTGACGAGGAGCATCTTCGTCACCTCGACGCTCTCTTCCAACGCTTGACGCAGCATGGGGTTACCGTCAACCCCGATAAATGCGAGCTTGGCCAAAGTTCCATCGACTTTCTTGGCCACCGCATATCTGCCTCTAGTATTGAAGCTCTGCCAGACAAAATCCAGGCATTGAAGGACTATCCTGCTCCCAGTTCCTTCAAACAGTTGCGCCGATTCCTTGGCCTGGTTAACTATTATAGACGCTCTATACCTAACTGCGCGAGCATTGTCCAACCAATGACTGACTTGCTCCGCGGTAAACAGCGGTCTTTCCACTTTGCAGACGACGCTAGACTGTCTTTTGAGAAGCTCAAAGACGCTATCTCCAACATAGCGCTTCTCGCCCATCTAGACACATCTGCACCACTCTCCCTGACAACTGACGCCTCTGACACTGCCGTCGGTGCAGTTCTTCAGCAACTCATCGACCATCGATGGATACCTCTAGGTTTCTTCTCGAAACGCTTACAACCTGCCGAATCGCGTTACAGCACCTTCGGTAGGGAACTGTTAGCCATCTACCTAGGTATCAGACAATTTCGTCACTATCTCGAAGGTCGACATTTCGCAGTCTTCACTGACCACAAGCCATTGATCTACGCAATCAATGGCGCAACGGACAAGTATTCGCCGCGGGAAACTAGACACCTAGACTACGTTTCTCAGTTTACGACAGACGTACGACATGTCTCAGGTGCTCTCAATCCCGTCGCGGATGCGCTTTCACGCATTCAGCAGATCAGCTTATCGCCTGGCAACAACATTGATCTAGCCGCTATGGCTGCTGCCCAACAAGCTGATCCCGACATAAGCAAGCCACGACGCAACACCACTGAGACGATCACCATCGATCGACTCAAGCCAGCATTCCTCGACAAGTCTGACTCTTCGGTGCAGCAAGCACCTTCACAGCCTGTGCCATCACAGCTCGCACCGCAACCTCAGACGAGTCAGTCCGCTCCAGCAGAACCGACAACCTCAACCGACAGCACTCCTACTCGCCCTACTATCAATCGACGCGGTAGGAAGCTCAAGCCTCCAGTTCGTTTTTCGGACTTCGTTAGTACTCACTACTTTACATAGAACGTGCCTTTAAAATTTTCTGCTCTTACCAAACGTTTTTGAAAATCCACAAAAAAGATCAAAACGTTTTGAAATTACCAAAAAAGAGCAAAACCTTTTGAAAACCCAAAAACAGCTTTGCACGTTTTTCGCTTTACACTCTTTTGTGTATGGCTATGCACTTATGCTGCTTTTTCATTTTGCTTTCCATATACACCGCCGGTTGGTTGCATCTCGGTTTCACTTTCGCTGGATCTCCGCACGTCAACTGCAAGTGGAACGAACTTCCTGCTCAACCGCCTACGTGAACTTTACTAACTGTCCCCCCCTACAAACAGTTTTTTTACCGTTTCGACACCGTAGGGAGGACACGGGTGGGAGCCCGCTAGGGTCCGATTGCATGGTTCTCCCCAAGCAGCTGCATCAGGTTTCACAACCTGGTCTCGCAGAAGGCTGGCCCGCGACGGACAGTCCTCACGTAGATCGAAGGACTGCTTACACAGTCCCTTCTGGGAGAGGGCTATGTAGCAGTCTGGAGATTCCCCGGTTTGCCTGTGTAAAATTCTAACCAAAATTATATAATTGTACACCTAGGCAACCGGTGTGGTTTGCTGAACTGCTTGCTGAGTTCGAATGCTTTACTTGCTCATCGCCATTTTTGCTTGGCGCTCGTTTCGGTTGCAACTCGCAACTGCCCTGTGTGCTGTGCTTGCTCCATTCCCCTAGCTAGAGCGTCCACGGTGTCGTTCATTTATAGCTAGGTAACAGGGAATCTTTTACTGTACAAATAAAAGTTTCCCTGCAACTCGATCCGTCTTCTCGAATCGCTCTCTGGGCTCCCGGTACAGGCGACCCTCTAAAAGACTTAACAGTTTTTACACATGGGTCACAATTGACTTCCGAATTTGCCATATCCACTTGAGGCGTATACTTTGTTATGTTGACTTGCACCAATTCCAAAAGGGCTCAGATAGAAAAGGAGTGTTCAGAATCTATGTTGTAGATCTCTCACTTACCACCAGCTTAGAATGCGTAATTCTACTGAATTATGTGGTCACGGTCAGTAATGGGGCAGCGAAGTAGGAATGACCGCAGATGGTGGTGAGATGGTGTAAAGATTCACCACTAAAAAGATGGAATGGAATAACTGGCTTTGTACACCACAACAAGAGGATGGAGAGACTGGCGCACCGTGTATGACTCCGCTTCAGTTTTCGTTGCGCGGCGATCGGCGCTGGTTTGAGGTCAGAGGGTCAGACGTGTGGCGTCCAGATGAGTCAATCGTTCCTTAAGCTAGATAGGTGACGTGCGTGCTATTGATCCGGCAGGTAAGTGGATAGGTGGTGATGCAACTTAGGATTGAGGCAGGGCAGAACGACTTGGAAAATACTGCCTATTGACGACAGTGGCTGCACATAGGGCGGACCAACTTGACAACTTTGGCTTTGTACAGCGACTAGAAGGAATGGTAGTAAGATAATCGGGTGACTCTCAAAACGATCTTTAAAATAAGACCACCAGCGTTCTTGTACGACGACGGAATGTGGTATACAAATTACGTTTCCGAAATTGCGAAAAAGACTATGTTAGCCAACGGGGTGCCAACTTGGCAACAATGATACAAGAATATAAAAGAGCCTGTGAAAGGCATGCATCGTCTCTAGTTCCATTGCACGTCGATGAAGAGGAGCCCGGTTTTTGCTTGGACTGAAACGAAGTCCTGGAACGAGGTGAAACAAGAAGAAAAAGGGAGTTTCTGGAAGCTTGGTTCTCCACAAAAATGCTCAGCCAACATGCACATCGACATCGATTCAGTATACCAACCACTCTAACAGAAAGAAATAAGAAAGATTCTATTGCGCGGGTTAAAGTAGAACAACCCGAGCACCGGCCTCAGTCACGGGGAAATTGAACAAATCGGGGCTGTCACTTTCAAAAGTCACCTGCACGTCGATAACGGATCGACGATTCAGTCAGGAATATTGCGCGCTGCATCTCTGCACTCACGATGCTACCTCGCATGGTGGTGAAAATTTGTCAACCAAATTGACTAGCTCGGAAAACAGTTGAGCAACTGTGTTCTTAACCCGAGCCCCGTGGGGCTGCTGCACCTTTGAACGTCCATGCAGTGTGGAGGGATGTGAGCCCACATGGAGTTAATTGATCAAGTCAAAGTCCTTTAACAAATTCTCTTGTCTTAACAATGTAGTGATCTTAACCTAAACCTACGCAGTTTTATCCTTTATCTTGTCTTACGTGCAAACTTGCATGTATCTTGTAAGATGGCTCTAAGCTTGGAGATGCAGTCGGACTTATTCACTAGTACCTAACCAGAACCTCTGTCAAATCTGGAATATATCAGATCAGGATTTGTTCTCAATCCTCTGATGGCATCTGTGTTTCTTTGACAAGATGTTCGATGACTTGATATCACAAACCATGTATTGTTGGGCGAGGTGCACCAGTGTGGTTTTGAAGGCATTCCAAGCAACAGGATTTTGGTGGATCAGACCCGCCGGTTGGTGTTGATACGTGCGCGAACAACTTCGATCCGTTGACGTCAGCTGTGCGTGGACTGGTTGACACTCACATCAGCCAGTCCATGATCTCACGCGCCCCCTGGTCTCACAGCGCGAGTTTCCGTGAGTCTTGTATCTTCGCTAGTTTATTGATGAACCTGCTGTTGTTCACACGTGTTTTGCTTCCTGGGATTACGTGTCTCGGAGCGTGCGTTACTTGCTTAGCAGTACTACGTTACAGTGGCGCCGGAAATGATGAACCCAATGTTGAATACACCTATCTTTTGGTCATCTGCTAAGGAAAAACCGAGTTTATCCAAATGGATAAAATGGAGGAAATCGTTTACTAACTACGTGGAATTACTTCCTGGACTGAATCCGACGGTTTAACGCTTTGAGTCTCACAACGTCAGATTATTCAGACAACTGCTTGGCGATTAAGGTTAACGGCGGTACACTGCCCTGTTAGCTGGAAAACTATGCCACCCTTAGTACTGTTTTGGATACTTATACCACATCATTGAGACTGAAACAGAATGTTCATACCGTTAGATCATTTCAAAACTTGTCCAGAAGCCGAACGAAAGTGTCTATGACTTTACTACGCATATTCATCAATCTGTTCCTGAGTGTAAGGATAATGACATCAATTTGGAAAATTGAAGAGCAAATGAAAATGTAATGTTTAATTGCGGGCATCTCGAACGAAAGTGCTAGAGGCAAACCATTATTCTTGGATGAGTCGGCCGCTACATGGGAAAACGTTTGCCTCATTGTTCGCAATCGCGAGAATATTGCACACCAATTACATGAATTCACTGGTCCTCCAGTAGCTGATAATGTGCACGCGGTCCGTAAACCAGACATCAGTGAACATCGGAACCAAATCATGTATTATTGTTGCGGCCTGAGGAATTCTCACGCCTCCGACTGCAGGTACAAATTACATCTGTCGAAAATGCGGAAGACAGGCCATATTCGCATACATCCGGCTCGACATTCGTCTGCTGTGGAAGTTCGCTTCATCCATCCACGTCTTTTTGTAGCCCCTGGAATATCGTCTATTGTGGTCGACTACATTTGCCATCTGATATATGCGCTTGATTACGCGCACCGTCTCGGACTAGTGTTTACTGGTCCCACAAATTAGTGACACCGATACGTACGTATGAATTTGAACACTTTCGTCCGCTTTTTTCTCGATCCTATTCTTGTGTTTATTTGTTTCTTGCTGAAGTTTACTTGTTTCATCTCACATTTGTTCTTTGATCTCCACGCACAACTCGAAATTAGCATCTGAGTCGTTTCACAGCGTAGACATACCTACTTTGACTATTCCAAATTTCATAGAATACAGCCGAGATATTTTGTTTGCTATATTTGAGATCGAACACAAAAGTAAGGGCATTCAGACGGACCGTTCAAGATACAGTCAGCTCTTCCCACCCCTTCCTTCGTCGGTAGTGA